TCCCTATCTCATCAAGTATCATCAAGAAATATGTGTTTTTCAGTATTGTATCTTACCCTGATTGGACACATACACAGAGAATGGCCACAGCCAACTCGGCACAAGAACAAACAGCAGTGATTCATGGAAGTGAATTGCGCTACAGTCTGTTTGTGTTCATGCACAGCTTGTGGCTGTCATGTTCCTGAATATGAATTTGATTTTTCTCTCTGGAGAACTTATGGAAATAATCCACAGGCTTTGCAGATTAACTCTGAAATGTTATTCTAGAAAAGCTTAGGAGATGAATGTAAACATGTGGCATAGAATTTGTGATGGCATGAAATGTTCTTGGATGTTGGAAGATACAGTTTCTAGTAGCTATTGTAATGTTAAGTAAATAAAGTTTCATTAATGAGAATGTATTCAAAGTGTGGGCACAACCCCCAACAAAATTGTGGCTATTATGTGATTTAGTTGAGAGAAACTGGCCAATGGCCAGTGCCTCGACACAAATGGGGAGTTATAACCCACAAATGAAAATCTGAAATGCTCTGTAGAGGTAACATTTAGTGTAGACTACCAATAACAAATTTTATTGTAGATCACTTTTGATTTGAGTTTTATTCTTACAGGACAAGGCTGTTTGAAAATCTTCGAATGCTGCCTCATGCACCAGGAGTACAAGTGCAAGGTGATTGGAAATAAAAATGCCTCTTTATATCAAGCCTATGAAGCTATATTATGACTCACATCAAAATAAAATTTGTAATATACCTGTGGAAAACTACAGTATTTCTTAAAATAGCACTCGAGAACACAATTTCAATGCAGGAAATCAGAGTAATACTTATTGGTCTTAGAGTCCATCTCACATATTTGCTGTTAGCGTTAAATGTATTATTTTGAATTTTCAGTGATTGATTTATTTTTCTGATAAATTCATTATAACAGTTACAAAAATATATCAGCTGGGGTAGCTCAGAAATTATAGTTACTGGCTATATATTGGATGACCAAGCTTCAGTACCTAGTGGAGTCGGATTTGTCTTCTCACATCCAGACCAGCTTTGGGGCCCACCTAGCCTCCTATCATGGGTACAGGGCACTGTTTTACCTAAAGGCAAAATGGCTAGAGCTTGAACCTAGCCTCTCACCTGTATCTATTGCTGAGGTTAACATTGGTTGGAGCTGTACCTCCACTCCTTCTTCATAATGTGGTGCTTAATTAAGATATATAAAATGTAATTAAACTCTGTCAAACCCTCCTTTCCTTGCCGAAGACAATCCAGCCCATGTTACAATGTCAGGTTATGAACTGGCTCTGAAACATAAAATTATATCAGGATTAGTTTAGATAAACCAAATGACAGCAGTGTTTTCTTTTCTTCTCTTATTTTAACAATACTTGTTTGTACTAGTTTTAATTTACTGGTTTTCTTCCAGCAATCCCTGAAGATGCAGTTAATGATTCTGAAGATGACGAAGATAAAGGAAACCCAGATGAACGGTTAACACAAGCTGCACTGGACAAGCGGATAGCCCCTGACAACGAGTACAGTGACTCTGAAGATGAGGGGGAGGGAGGACGTCGTGATCAGAGGTGCAGTATTATATTATGGTTCCTACTGACTCTAGAGTTGATTGAAATACAGTGAAACTTCGATGCATCGTTTTTGGCGGGGGTGGGAAATAAAAACTATGAATACAGGAAAACGATAGTTGTGGGAAAGCATTAAAAAAATTTAAAAAAATGAATTTTTCTCTTTCAAAGTTACTTCTTTTTACCAAAAAAGTCTTTAATGGACAACTGGTTTGTCGAAACTTTACGTTTTAGGCCAAACAGAGCCCTTTCCACGTTCAGTAACATTATGCGCTTAAAAGAACGACTTCACTTTTGCCAATGCAGCATGCTTCGGCAAAACTCGGCACAGCTACGGGCTCGCATTCGTCGTCTTCCTCTTCCTCACCACTCCCATCCCCTTCGCAAACAATAACAGGAAGAACGGAAATACTATTACTGCCGAACTCAACGAAACGTAGCTGTAGAAGACACTGAATCACTGGAAACGAGATGAACCAGAAGAATGAAAAGTGCCATCCGCCTTTCCTTTGTACTTATAATAAAAGCATTTGTGAAGAAATTCACACTGCACATGCCATCTGGCATCGCTGGAACAAAATATGAGTGCACCCTAATTAAACTCATAAAATTTCTGACAATGAGCACCGCTGACCCCTCATTCCAAAAGAATCTGTGCTGGTTGGGCGACATAACACTACTGCCCTACTGTGTATTCAAAAAACATTGTGCGTCTTTCGGTATTAATTTATCTCAAAACCCAGCATTTTAAATTCT